GTGATGGTGGTGGTGGTGGTGGGAAGGTATTTCTGCACCAACATGACTCTGCAACTCTCGAGCAAGTACACTGCAAACCCTGCGCCGGGAGTACGCATGCACAGAGACCTACATGGCAACAAGTCAGGAGAGGCATTCCTCAAACTGAAACTGAACCTCAGCCAGGGCAGGACAGCTTCTGTGATTATACAACAGCACGCCACAGCAGCAGGATCTTATCAAGAAAGAAACTCGCTCCTTTTGTACATCCACACACACACACACCAACTACCATACACATATACACAAACCACTTCCCAGGAGAATAGGCTTGTAGAGGAAATCCACAGCAGTTCCTACTAAGTTTGATTGATGACTTATGGAGGAGAAAGAACGAAGAAAAAAAGGAACAAATGATTCAGCATAAATAGCAAAAGAGATATATTTCCCCATTCTTATGTGTCTTTCTTTGGAAAATGAGACCAAACCCTTTAAGAGATTTCCTTAGTAATTATTACTCCTCATGATCAGAGGTCAACATTCAGCAAAATCAGGCTTTCAACCCTTAAAGACCTCATAAAGTCTGCCAACAGTAGCAGAGACCTGCTTCCTAATAAACACAGCTGGGGAGATTCTCTTAATGCAGCCTCTCTCCAATACTTCTGATTACTTTGTTATCAAAAGGGAGAAACAGGAGAACTCTGAAAGCATCTGCTATACTTCCAACAGTAATTATCATCCATATTTCCCAAGTTTAACTTCCAGTGTATAATAATACTTGTGTATAATTATGTACTGCTCCTGCAAGTTAGCTGATCAGTCACAACCTCACCCTGGGTGACGTTATGCTACAGTAGACCCCCCCCCCCAAAGGGAGGCAGCCGAGGGATGGCAAAGTGACATCTCTTAAGAATTGTGTAAGGTCCCTTGTAAAATGCTTTTGGTGAGGTTTGAAGCAATCACTGGTGAATTGTTGAAAAAACTAATAATTAGAGGACCTTGAGTTAAGTTATTTTAATGAAAACCATCAGGTCTATCTCCAAATTTAGAGATTTTGAATGTATCAGATGAACTGAAGGATTGTGTGTGTTTATTGGTCGAATACTTCTCCTACTTCTTAATCTAAAACCAATTGGATTATCTGAAAAATACTTTACCGCAAAGCTGAAAACAGAGGTGTTTTTCTTCAAGTTGATTGTTTTGGAGACACCTGGTTTCCACAGGACAGCAATTTCAAGGTAAGTTGTTCATCTCCATGGTCTATTGCAAAGTCTAAATTACTCTGTGATCCCCTAACGGCTGACTGGGCTGATTAAGAGGATGAGTTTGTTTGACAGCCTGAAAGTCAGTGTACACACACAGAACTACTTTCTTGATACATTTGAATTCAAAAAGATTATTCAAAAGAAAAATAAAGCTTAAGGGCTTATGTGCTTCCCTGTAGGATCTTTTCTTTTCAATTTTATTTGTATAAGCAACCAAACGCAACAGAAGTTATCTGAGGACACTTGAATACGGCAGGTCTAGGCCGTACTCCTTATATACAAAAGTTCTTCCTAAGATACACAACCCCCTCCACTTGGAATAACTGCCCTCCCCCCTCACCTGGTATCTTTTTCTGTTTGGGTCTACAGTCTTAGACATGTAATCAAATGCAGACAGACTTCAGAAGTACCTTAATATCCTGCCCATGGAAAAGCTTAAATAACAGGAGAGATGACACCCATGGCAGGTGGCCCACATTGAACATGCTTGACTTCACTTTTGACTTAAGCAAACCTTAGCACTTGCTTTGAATTTACAGGGAATGGAGGACTTGAAACTGTAACCAATGAACTCCCAAGAAACCTCCAGAATGAAACAAGCTTTTCCCAGTTCTTCAAATACCCATGGAAACTGGTTTAGCAACTTCCCACAGTCTCTCTTTTATCTTTGATGGAGGAAGACAAATTATTTATATTTGCACTACGTCTTCACTTCTTAAGAACATTTAACAAGTGGTAATGACACAAATTAAAGTACAAAGATAGTGATTAGAGTCTAGATTTGTGTTCATGTCAGGTGGAAACTTATTATCCTTTACTAAACTTTTATTTTATAGGGCTGTGAATCCTGGCCGTATATGTGAATGTTTTCATGACATCTAGGGAGCACATGATTGCTTTTAAACTTCATTCTAATCCTCACCTGAAGACTGTAATTATAGAAGCTGTCTCAGTTGTTACAGATGGGTGTGTTTGATTTTCATATGTGTCAACTAAGGTGGCATTCTTGCAGTCTACGTTCTCTTAAGATAACATTAGTATCCTCACACCACACCCACCAATACCAAGGAACATAAAAACAAAAATGATGATTTGATGTAAGGACGGGTTGCATAATGTTACGGTAATGACTGCTTCACTAGAACTTTTCTGCTTAGTTAAATGGCTGCAGATTGTCTCTGTTTCTCATTAAAAAACACAACAGCAAATTCATGATGATGTGAAATTGATTGAATTGAATTGAATTTATTTATTAGATTGAGACAATTCAAATTATAATAGTTCCAGTACAAAACATGACGCTGATGTGCTGCACTATTGTTGGGCCTTTTGGTAAGATTTTTGTAATCAAACTAGAGGCAATGACCTGTGTGAAATCATGAATTAAACTGTTATTTCACTGTTTAATAGCTGAGCATAGGACACTTTGCAAAATAATATTAGTAGCTCAATTTTCTCAAATATCTCCTATTTTGACTCTTTTATCTTTTGGAGCCTGCTGTTGCTCTCAGGCAATTGTTTTGTCTGACACTCCTTTTTCTTTGTAGGTTATTTTATCAGCTGCAAATACTTTTTAACTAACACAAACCGAAACCCTTTCCTAGTGCAATAAAGATATGAATGTTACACTAGGGGTTTCTTTTTTTAGGGGAGGGTTTTCTTGCCCATAAACATATTATTGAAGGTGATTCACATCTGATGATTCATTTTGTGAAACAGACTATGGACAATGAAGGTGTGGTGACTACATGTTCAGGAATTTCTGTTCCTGCATGTGTGTTCCCATAAATGTTTTATATTTATTTTCTGTGCTGAGTCAAACCAGAGGTATTGTATTTGTTGTTTCTCTTACTCTTCTTCCTTCAACACAACACAATGATGATGAGAGGTCTCACAAACTCACTTCTCTCTATTTATACACCCCAAGATTGTTTTCATTTTCAAACTTGTAGTCAAATGACATCACTTGAATCAATTTATCAGACTTTGTGTAGCCACAAAAAGCTTTATACAACTATTTTTTTAATTAATTAATTTTTGTTTTGTTTTTTTACATATGCAGTAGTGCTTCCCAACACCTGTAAAATACACTTTGGAGTGTTAAGACAAATACTCAATAATGTGTGTCTGATATACACAAAAAAGTATAATTTCAATTCTTAAAAAGACATCTACTCCTTCTACCTCATTAAAAATGAAAGAATCGATGAATATGCAAATGTTGTTCGCTTTTAAAGTTTTCCTGCTAGAAACAAGGTGTCTCCTACTTCACTGTAAAGTCCATTCTCAGTGTATGTACACTGGTGGTTTCAAGTCTCTACATCACCCTTGTATGAGTTGCACTGGACCAGGGATGACTTCAGTGACCACAGAGAAACTTTCCACTTTCAGCAGATGAAAGTGGAAAACATCCTTTCTAGTCCCCAAACTCTGCACATACATCATTCTGCACAGTGAAGATTTCAAACATCCAACTGTAGGAACCAGACCAAGCCAGTGTTACATTATATGTTATATTATTTGCTTATTATCACTGATGCATTGAAGTATAAGCAGCATTTTACTGTTGTTGGCCAACGTGGAGCTAATTTTCACTACTTTATATGCTGTTGGGTAGTTTAACTGTAGCAATGCTTGTATTTTATAAACTATACTCAGGTAAAGAGTAAATATTTAAAGTACAGTACTTGAGTAAATGTACTAGATTACATTCCACCACTGGAAACTGACAAAAATATTGTTTAATTCAACGAAATAGAGACATATTTTGTAACGTAATACAGTCAAAAAAAGAGTAGCTATATAAGAAGGAGTAATGTTGGAATTAACAGTGATGTTTACTTTGATATGTTATCGAAAATGTAATGAAATACTGTTACTGAGTTGGGTTTTATTTGTTTTCTGCAGATGGAACACCTGTTTTTCACTCAGGCATTATGCTCCAGTCCACTTACCGCTACAAGGAAGTAATAAAATAAAGTACAACAGCATGGTGACACAGCACAATGCTGGCCTCGTTTCAGTTCTGTCAGAGTGATCACTTGTCTCTCCTTTCCTCTTTTACAACCTTTGTGCCTTCTCCTTTCCTCGTCCCCATCCTCTACTGCATCTCGTGTCTCCTTCAGTCCCTCATTCCCTTATTTCTCTCTTTACATAAAATGTCTGTTAATTTCCTCCTCTCCTCGTTTGTTTCCTGCCAGTGAAGGAGTAGTAATGAGAGATAATCATAGCTTAGATTATCCCTGGTTTGAGCTTTAACTTCATAAAACAACTCATGCATGTCTAATTCCGACAAAAAAAGACCTTGTTTGTTTGTGAACACACTTTTGAAATTAAGAGGTGATTTAAAAATGCTGCCGGGTTCCTATCAAAGCTGGCTGTGTTTGGAGGAAGAACCACAGGATTTTATTGACCTTTGTGTTAGTTTGATAATGAGAGGGGGGTAAACTTGACATCATGCACTGTGAATGTGCTGCCCTCTGCTGTTTGTACACAGAAACACAAGCAACTGTGAAAAAAACACTTTAGTTAAAGGGGCACTCCGCTACATGAAGTTTACTCTTGATGGGGAGTAAAACACATTCTTTAAAAAAACAGTTGTTTAAAGTCTTCTGAGACTCTGTAGGGAGATGTACAAAGTTAAAAAAAATACCTCATCTTGGGCTTGAGACCTAACATTTTTACCAAAAAGCCTGTGGAGACGAGCATTTCTTAGACCTAAAGAAATATTTCAAATTCTAGCCAAGATCCTGAGGTTTTACAGATAGCAAATAGTTAATAATAATCATTATATAGCAATAGTGTGGGTGTTAACAAGCTTGTGTTGCCAATATTATAAGAGTCTATTTTACTATGTCACTGAT